ATTTTTCATCTCGATGACACTCCCTTTGGCTTAAATTTACACTCAGGATGCATGTTCTACACACCAAGCTTCCAGCATGCCCCACGTACTACTACGTTGAACTCATCACTGTGACTTGAAAAGTAAAGCTGGAGGGAACGAGCCTGTGGGGGCATTCGGAGGCTTCACCCCAGCCTCCCCAACTCTCAACTCACTGTCACCCTGAGAGCTTGCTCGATGCCAGCTTCGGCTTAAAATCACTGGTGGGAACCTGCCTCTACTCAGCAATCCAAGGTCTTTTCTGTGCGATGAAGTTTCAACTACACAGTGAAATATCTGTCTCCAAAACAGTCTGTTCTTCTCACGTGACTGCACATCACACTATAGCAGAGGTTGTTCCTAGGCCCCGTGTCACAGTACAAATGGTACTTGTCAGGGTCCTTGGATGTGCATGCTAAGCTTGCCACTTACTGTGCCTGAATAAATTCACAAACTGGGTCATTTCTCCGTTAAAAAAAAAAAAAAAAAAAAGGAAGTGAGCCATAATCGGCAAAATCCATATTATTATAAATACAGGAAGTACATAAATGATTCAACCGTATCTTCTCTGTTAAATCACCTTTATGACTCCAAACACGATCCGCTCCTAATGGCGTTTAGAACCAAAGAAATGCTTACACGAGGATCCCCATCCTGCCATGTGTACACTCATACTGAGCCAGAAGCAGGCTGCACACCAACACGCCTAATGTCCCAGCATTTCAGTCCTGGGAGATGCCTTAGGTGGTTTTCTAGTCTGACCCTCCCGTTTTCAATGTAAAGAAACGGACGTGCTGCGAGGTTATGTGACTTGCTCCACAGGATTAGTGACGAAATTCTCCTTTCAAGTCAGTCCCCAATTTCAATACTAACAAGCAACAGTGCTTACAGCCTGCAACCCTCCTCAGAGCTGCTGAACGAAAGGTGCCACGCAAGACAAGACACAATGTCCAGAGAAAGAGGACACCCAAAGCCTTTAGTTTAAATAGTCATTTATTTAATAAAGTCATTTATTTAATAGACCTTAATAAATATCTTTTTTAAGTGAAAATTCCTTTTTAAAGCAAAAGTAATAGCTCCTTTATTGATCGGGGGTTTGTGGCTGTGCGTGTACACCAGTGTTGCCTGCTCGCACAGCCAGGTCCCCCACCCCCGTGCAGGTCACCCCACGGCCAGGTCCCCCACCCCCATTCAGGTCCCCCCATGGCCAGATCCCCTGCCCCCGTGTAGGTCACTCCATGGCCAGCTCTCTCAATGGCTTTGCTGGTGTGTGTTGGAGGGGAGGGGGACGTGCAAACCTGACTGTCTACCACATACAACAGTGTCATGCAGCTGACAATAAAACCCTAGGATCTAAAACACAAAAGTAATTTTATTCAGCACTTTAAGCAGGTACATTTTATAACACGAATGTAAAAACCTCAAAATTCCACTTATGCCAGGCTCTACTTTCAAAATGATGTGACTCTACTTTCAAAACCTAATAACTTTTTCTGAAACACCAGTTAACAGTCGTGAACATCTATAAAAGCATTTCTATGCAAAGCACCAGAGAGCGATGAGGAGTCTTCGGTTCAGAGCCTGCCTTACAGTCTTCAGCGACTCCCTGCACCAAGCCCCGCCCTCAAAGGTGCTGGAGGGAGGGCAGTGAGCACAGAGTGAAACTAGTTCCCCTCAGAGAGCTGCTAGGGTGGCAGCGAAGACCCAGATACTGCCAACGGTGATGCAGTGTTAGAAAGGCTAACAGGGATAGTAATAAATTGTTGGATGATGACGAATTCTGCCAGAGGGTGACAGGGAGCAGAATGAAAACCAAGCAGACATGAGAAAACAAAAGCAGTAAGGGTAAGAAAGCCCCATGACTAATGGAGGAGCAGCTTCAGACGCTGGGTGGGGTCAGGTTATGAGGGAAATGAGAAAAGCAATTGGGGGAGGGGCTGTGTTGCTAGGATGTTTGCAGAGAGCGCTCCACTGCACTGTGGCCTTCGAGGAGGACCCTCCACTAACACACGAGCTCGGGAATTGGAGCCTGACGCAAGTAACTTGCTTAGTACAGCCCACAACTAACAAATGGCAGAGCCTGTAGCAAGGCGAAGCTCACACCACACACTGTTCCCAACTGCCTCGGTGGCACGTTGGAGTTGGAGTCTTACTCTCCAAGACATATATATTTAAAGACTTTTAAAGGAAGACTGGCATTTTGAGAAAGGTAACTTGTGACAAATTGCATGGAGTGCTTTCAAATTAACAGAGAATCAGTAAAAAAAAATCTAGGCAAAAGAGTAATGTTGAAACTGAGATAATAACCATAGGAAGGGAATGAACTGATGATTTATACAGGACTTCGAATTAATAAAGCTTGTGTCCTATACTATGGGCTGGGAGAGAAAAGGGGAAGATTCCCAGCCCGATGGCTGAGTAGCAGGAAATGCATTTAACTAAAACAAGAACACACTGGAGAGGGGTGAGGGGCAACTGAAGAGATGACAGCTTCTGGACACAATGGGCTCACCTCAAGTCTACAGGTCACTAGGAAAGCTGACTCTCAAAAGGTCTGAAGAGGAATATGGACCAGACTAGAAAGCTGGAAACCAAAGAAGAGAAAACCATGGCTGGAGTTGGGGGTGCAGGTAAGACAGTCCCGAGACAGAGCCTGGACTAAGCAGGAGAACAGGGTGGCAGGTGGCAAACAGAGTCAGAGAAGACCAGCAGGCAGTCACGTGCTGGGACCTAGGGGAGGCTATTTTGTGCTGTACGGTGGTCAAGAGAATTTGATGTGCTACTGAAAGGTCAAATAAGGCAAGTGAAAATAAGTCACACTTTTAGAAATAAGTGGTTACTGGTGACCTTTATAAGAGATGTTTTAGCAGTGAGGTTAACAAAATAAAAGCAGAATTAAATAGGCAGTGGAGAATTGTAGAGAGCAGATAAATTTGGCACTGATGGGAAAGAAAAAACATGATATCATGTGGAAAACACTGCAGATTTTAAAGCAAAGAATTCTTGAGGCTTTGCTAGGAACTAACAAAACATTTGCAATAGTTAAAAACTGCAAAGTTTGACTCGTTAAAGTAAAGATTTAGTGGCTCAAGTAAAGATTTAATGGAGAAAACTTCAAGAGTCTACAAAGTCATAGTGAAACTGTTTCATGATTTGAAAAGAAGAGGAATACATTCCCATTCAGGCTAAGTTAAATAGTCACACTGTCTTTCAAAGGGGATCCTATGGCTTCTGGATTAATTCAAGTTTGCAACTCAGTACAAACTAACATCAAAATATGCCTCGAGAATAAATAAAAACATCCCCACCAACTTCAAAACTGAATTAATCCCCCTTTTATGGGCCAGTTAATAGATTTCCATGAAAAAATAAATACCATTCACATAAAGATATAATGGTCATTCAACTCTGTGCAACAGGACAAAAAAAAAAAAAAAAATGGGGACAGAGCACATATCAATTAAAAGCCATCCAAGCCATGGATGAATTACTATCCATCCCCAACATTATTCTAACACAAACGCACAGCAACTTTTCAGAGCTTCGAAAAGAACCAGCCTGGGTGAGAAGTCGGGGGAGATGAATGAAGACAGGAGGCTACTGCTCCTCTGAAGCCGCATGGCCCCACTCCTGAAGGCTCTGCCACCCTCCACAACCCACCAACAGTCGGCCTGGACCTCTCAGTCTGCTACAATTCCGACCCGTGGAGCACAGGACAACTGCAACACAGAAATGTACCATCTACAGTCAAATGTCATTCGCAAGCATACGTGTCTGAAACAGCTGAAGGGTGACGCTCATGCCAACTGCTATTGCGTAAATCCCAGCAAGGGCAGCTACGCCAGTAAATATTAACAGACCAAGTGTGAAAGCTATGTATGGGTGATCCAAAGTGAATTTGATTCAAAGGACACACAAATAGCCTGAGAGTCTTCAAAAGCAAAGACTTACAACGAGGCTGACGTTAGGACACACAGAATTCTAAGCATCGGGCCTCTGGATTGCAGTGTGTCTCATCTCTCAACTGTAGCCTCAGATACTGAGCCTAGCATGCCCTGAGATCACTTGTATGTGCTAACAACTCTGGCTCAGATTCTGTTATTTATATGAACACTTGTTGTTATGTTCTGCTTATTCTAGGCTAATGTACAGAGTATGAAAGCATATACACTCTGAGTTGACCACTGCAAGCCGCTTACAAAGTTATATCCTATATAATGACATTGTTTACTCTTTGGTGGAAGTATATAGATAATATCAATTGTTAAAGACATCATATTCCGAAGCTTTGGGCATATGGCTTTCTAGTTTAATAAAATGGCGCATTTTCATGTTTCATGGTCCAACAAAATCGCACAGATAAAATTTCAGTATAAAAACACACAAAATTAATTCTATCTTCAGGATCAAAACCAGAAAAAAGTCCTTAAAGCTTCTCTAGAAGATGGAATTTCAAAGCTGAAGAAAAGAGTGAATGGAAAATGGAATGAAAGCAATGAAAATGTATGCATACACTGGCTATTTTTTAACACATAAAGTCAATTTTATTGTATCTAAATGTTTAAGCTATTCCTTGGCTGACTTTAGCGTACAGTGCTGCGTAGAGCAGACCTAAGCGGCTACAAGTCAAGTTAACCTCTGAGAGCTACTCACAACCCGGAGGGCAGATTCCTGGCCGCAGCGACGCCGAAGGAGAGCTGCACCGTCTCCACGAGGATGAGGTCGACCAGGGCCGACAGGACCCAGGAGCCCAGCAGGAAGGACTGAAACAGAGCGGACAGTTACAGGGAGGAGTTGCAGGAAGGGGACGAACATTTATTTCATTAGCACCAGCTCAAGGAGGTATGTATATACAGACATATGTTGAGTTTTTTCTTTTTTACTAAGATAGGCTTTTCAGAATAGAATAAAACCACACTGATTGCATGCACCAACCTCCATGAATCCTAACCCAAAGAAATGATATTGAGGGCCTCCCTGGTGGCACAGGGGTTAAGTCTCAGCGCTATCAACACATCCCCAGCCCTGCAGCATGAGTTGGACCCCGGCCAGGGAGTGACCCAAAGGGCCCAGCAGACCTCTGTCTCCCCGCTGCTCCCTTCAGCCGTGGATTTTCGTAGAGCTGCCTGTTCTCACCAGGTGATTTGTTTCCAACAAGTTACACTGACACTAGCAAGCAAACTAAGTTACTAGAATGAATGTCAAAATCCTAATTAAATCTGTTGTATTATCCATTCACAACAGATATTTATTATCATTGCTGTCATTACTATTACTGGTCTAAATTTAAAATTCTTCTTTGGTAATATCCATGCTCCAAATCAGAGACCGGATCATGTAATTAAAAGATAATTGGCAGGGATCATGCTAAGTGAAATAAGTCAGGAAAAAGACAAAGCAGTGGATGTTGTCACTAATATGTGGAATCCAGAGAAACCAGGCCAAGGTCAGATAAAGCCAAGGTCAAGCACTAAGCCCTGAGAGCTGACTACGGAAGAGAGGAATGCATGAGGGAAAAGGAGAGGGGAAGGGGGAGAGGCGAGGGCGGCAGGGACAAAGTGGGGGGTCCAGGGACCATGGTGGTGGGCTGTGGTGTTCTGGTGGTGGGAGAACTACCGGGAGAGCACTCGGAAGAGGAGAGGGCGGAGCTCACACTTCTAACACAAACAACGTGAAACAACGTAACCAATGTTAACTCAGTAACAAATTAAAAAGTAATTGCCCATATTGACACTGAACTTAATGAAACTATTTATAAATAAGAAAACAGAAACATTTGAAAATTCGTAAAACTCACTGCAAATTTTCTGCTTCCATATCTTCTTTCAAAGACCCTGAAGTTATAGATAAGCAGACTGCTGCAGAAAGTATCTTTCAAGTCAAGGCAAATTATTCTTCCACAGATCAGCCTCCAAATCTGGATGAGGATTTGAAGAAAAACAACAGATGACAGTAAGGTTTGTCTAGGTATCTTTCTCAATCAATTTACTGTTTACTATACATGGTTCATTTTTTCCCCTCTTATTTAAGCAAAGTAACAATGCCTAAAACCTGCAAAGGTGTTTTCCCTAAGAAATGAGCTCACGTCTCTTACCTTAAAAATTCCCATCATAGGCCCTCCCTGGTGGTGCAGCGGGTTAAAGCACAGCACTGAAAATCTAAAGCCGCTTCCACATGCGTTCAATTCCCGCCAGCCCCGGAGGTGACCACATGGCGCGGCAGACCTCTCCTGACCCGCCCGCTGCTCCACTCAGCAGTGTACTTCGACGATCTGCCTGTTCTGTTGCCCACTCTGTCTCTGGTGAAGCCTCTCACCGCCCGTGAGCCTCTGGCCTGTACCCCAGTTCTGTATGCACAAATAAATAAAATCTTTAAAAAAAAAAAAAATTCCCATCATATAGAAACCCGCAGGGATTACAATCAAGATGGGAAAAAAAATGCGCAAAATGATGTAAAAATAAACTTTGTAATAATAAAAAAAAAATTCCCATCATATAATGGCCCAAAGGTTCCTATTTTTTTTTTTTTTTTTTGCTAATTATGAGAAGGAAATGTGTTTTCCTTTAAACAACACAAATCTTCCTGTAAAAAAAAAAAAAGCTTAGGACTGTGTTTAGTAAAATTTTAAAAATTATAAACATGAGTTGGAACGAAATAGGTATGCTACTGAATAAAACAAACTTAGCTAGATATAAATCCCAAATCCTTCTGTCTGAGTTTAGGCTTATGATTGACCCACTTCACACAGCAACTAGGCACAATGCAATTTATTTATAGCAATTGTTACTAAATATCATTAGGGCGGAGCTTTTTAAATAACTGAACTTTCAGTATATTTAAAACAACTTCTGACTTGCCGGAGGAGAAACTGAGAAAAAAGACAGAAGAAAGAGTAACGCAAAGCTTTATAGTCTCAGATTTTTAAAGCTAACCCCAGGGATGTCTACAAAGCATTCTGATCCTACGTGCCCTTCACATTCCTCCGGTTAGAAGGCAAACAAGTATCAGCCCTAAAATATACACGAGTATAACCCCGCCCGTTTCCAGGACCTTTTCCCGACTCCAGACAGAAACGCCGCACCCTCCCCACCCCTCTACGCCTGGCCACCCTCATTCCACGCTGGGTGGCTGAATTTGACCACACGGTGTTTCGTACACATGTGCCGGACCGCGCCGTGCTCCACGGTGAGGCGCGAGTCCGCCCCTGGACACCCGCCTGCGTAACGCACTGGCTGCCGAGGGCACTGGGCCAGGACCCTCTCAGCCACGTTGGCAGTGCCCGCACAGCACAGTCATGCCACTGGTGTAACAAAAGCAGTAACAAAAACACACGCCAGGAAGCAGACTGTATCTGCTGTCGAAACAGTTCACCTCTGCACCCACTCCTGGCCAGGCAGCCATGGTCCTGAGCAGACTCCCCCAAACCAGCCCTTGACTGGTTCAGGGGGGCCCCTCGAGCTGACTTCACCTGCTAACCTAGCTGCACCAGGAACTGGCCACAAGTCTGTGTCAGGGTCACAGCCGGCTTCAAGGACAGGAGGCACCAGCAGAGTCAGCAACGCCCCGGGCTCACAGCAGGCCCTGGGAGACAGGCTGTCTCCCTCAGAACGCGGGGGCAGCACGGGAATCGCGCTGAGCCTCAGCAGGACTGGCGCTCTGCCAGAGGACATGCGGGCTGTCACCTTGGCGGGACAGCGGGTGCAGAGACCACGGGGCCACGCTCCATCCCTTCACAACGCCCAACCAAAGTCCTGTGCGTGGCTCACAGGAAATCTGGGGGACTGAGGAAGTAAGACTGAAGCAGAACACACCGGACTGAGAGGACTGCTTACTTATTTATTTTAGTTGAATAGACATCAAACCAGAAGTTGCACTTTTAAATAATTTGTTTTAAATAATTTGTTCTGTCACTATCCTCAAGGACACAAAGACCGGAGGTGAGCGCAGGACTGACCCGCCAGGCGGACCGTGAGGCTGACCCCGGCCCGCGAAGGCGGCCTCTGGCCTGCACTGCACGGCGCTGCTGTGCGGCCACCCAGGAACCCTGCAGCTGGAGCTCGCGAACCTGGGAGACACAAGGAAAGCCTCACCGCCTGCCTCGCCCGGCTGACCCTGCCTTCGTCAAGCTCTCACGCCCCACCTCCGACAGCCCTCCTAAGGCCTGTCGTTCTCACTGCTTCCTGAGAAAAACGCCCTCTCTCTCTCCCTGACAGAAAACTCACACCACCAAGGCTCTGTGCTGCCCCCCCCTTTGGTCACCACCCCGAGGACTCAATTCCTGTCTGACAGGGGCACCTTCGAATGTGCACTCACACCTCTGCGGCATCTCGGAGAGCTCACGGTCCTGAGCGGAGAGCAGTGATGCTGCGTCCAGGCGGTGCCCAGAGCCCATGGGGTGGTGCAGAAGAGGACACTCGTCCACCAAGCTGTATGATCCCCCCAAAAAAGCCGGTTCATGTCTCTACAGCAGTGGCAGTGACATGGCCATATTCAGGAGCCCCAAGGAATTGTTTCTGAAAACACACCAAAGCCCAGGCCTAACTGCTAGATCCTTTGACTTAGGATCAGTCAAAGGAGGGTGCAGTCCTGAGTTCCCAAAAAAAAAAAAAAAAATGATTTAAAATACATTCTTTAAGTTTATCCATAGGATTCCAACAGGCAGCCAGGTTTGAGAAACACGGCACCGTGGCAACCACAGAAAGAAGAAGCTGTCCTACGTTCTCACAGGAAGCAGTGGGAGCTCGGGGAAGTCTACCAAGCCATGGCGGCAGGGCACCAACTGGCTGCCCACGCCTTTAACGAAGGGAACGGCGGCAGGGCACGCACCGTCACGTGCACTAACGCGCCAGATTCACAGGCAAGACCCAGCCTGGGCATTTTCAAGGAGACCAGCTCCTCGATCTCAAAAGCCAGAGGCCTGCTCTGCCCAGCACCAAGACCCAAGCGGAATTTCCCACATGGTTTCACCACCACTACGAAAGTCATTCGGGGAGTCGAGAGCTGGTAGACCTGAAAGAGTTCAGATCAGCTGGCCAGCATTCAAACCGAGCAGGTTTCTGAAAAGGGTGGTACGTGGGGTGACCACGAAGGAAGCGACCGAACACGCGTCCCCACGTGCACAACACACGACTGCAAGAGACGGGCCTGCCCGGGGCGAACAGCACCTTCTGGAGAAGAGTCTGCTGGGCCGAGAATACCAGTGAGCAGCGTGAGAAAGTGTACTAGTGGATGCAGCATTAACACTAAACAGCACTTCTTACAGAGGCAGAGGGTTGAGGGATGAGCAGCAGCAGAAAAAGGCCAATCGAGGTGGGAGACCTGCCGCCCCCCGAGCGTGAGGCGGGCTCACCTGCAAGTCGTGCTTGACGGCCTGGAGGTCGTACACGAAGAACCTCTGGCAGTGGGGCAGGAGGAGGGCCAGCAGGAGGGACAGGGCGCTGGGGACCAGTAAGAGACTCTTGGACAGAGGCGCCTTGTCTGGAGGGAAAAAGAAAACCACTTTCAGAATGATTGTTCCTAAGGTTTAAAACCCCACAGCAGTGGAAAACCAGGAGCGTTCGTTCGCGTTTCTGGAACTGGAATTGAGACGACGCTGACCGACTCTGGCGTTTGATTCCGAACCTCTGCTCCACAACTCCACCGGCGGGGGGCAGGGGACCAAGGGCACGGAAGCAGGTGGGACTTGCCGGCGGGGTCTCCCTGTCTGCCGGCTGAGATGGGCACAGCGAGTTCACAGCCAGCGACGGGCACACAGTGCCTTTCAGGAAGGCTGCCAAGCTGTCAACGGGCAGAGGAGGCTATCCTACCAAGTGGACCAGCTAGCTCCTGCACACATGTGGGCTTCACCTACTTATTTTTTCTAAATGACAAAGCAGCTACAGTGTGTCGGCGGAGTTTCGCCTGCCTGCGGCGGGCTGCAGGCTCCCTGGCGTCCGGTGGGAGTCTAGTCTAGCTTCTGAGGCGTGAAGCTGCCGCTCGAGCGCTACCCTGCACAGCCCCAGCCCCCTTCGGGGCAGCTTCAGGAGCCACCTGAGCCCAAGGGGCTTCCCCTCTCTGTGCGCTTGTTCCAGTCAGGCTCATGGCGGGGCTCATGGGGTGCCAGTTGGGCCCCTCCAGTTACAGTACAGATTCCTCGATTCTCTGGTGGCCTCTGAGCCCAGCCCAGCCCCTCGCTCACAGGAAACGGTCAGACTGACGGCAAGCCCGCAGGCGGAATCACTGATGGGGACGTGCTCGGACTGAGTGTGAGGTTCACTTTAATCACACTGGAAAGAAATTTCCTGAGAGTGGACTTGCCACTTACAGTGGGCACTGTGGTTACCTCACTTGCTCAGGTATATAAAAATAGCCCAACCGTTTCCTCTCTGGAAGGTCCTGCAAACCGCTGTGGCGGAACCATGAGCGAGGTGGCCACACACCACCCTCAGGAGCAGCATGCAGGAAGCTCCGGGGCTTCCGGATGCAGACAGAGCCCCCCAACCCGCGGCTCAGAGTGCGCCCCACTGCCAGGACCCCAGGGACGCGGGGGATCACCCTAGGGTGAGCGTGACCAACCCGAATTCTGTCTTGAGTGACCTGAGCATGTTTTCTTCACCTGGAAGAGGACCTGCCTCAAAAATGTTATGAGAAAGTAAATGAAATAAAGACTGAAGGTAGGCAGAGCTGTCCCGTGGCCGAAAAAGGCGAAAAGGGCGAGCTCCTCATCATTCCACAGAGCCAGGAGAGGCCGGTGCACCCCAGAGGGCACTAGGAACCCGCTTCCTTCTTCAACTTGTGCTTCCACCGTCCCGTGACATGAGGCCCGTTCCCGCCTGCCTCCCACAGAGTCCCAGCACCGCTGCAGAAACGCCCCGGCTGGGCCATCAGTCTCCCCGGCCGCTCCCCGAGCGCCATCTCGGCCCCGCCGACGCATCCTCCGAGCCCTCTCGGCCGCTCTCCGGTTGCTCACCTCCGAGCCCCCATCCCAAGTGGATGAGGGAGGTTGGCTTCGGTGTTCTCAATCAAGGCCTAAACTCAAGAAGCGCCTGTGTGCGATCTGCACCAGCCTTGGCCCTGGGGAGCGGCGGCCAAGAGTGGACGGGCCCGTCCCTGGGGGCGCTGACAGCCTAGCTGGGAGGGAAACGGAACCCCACAGTGCACAGTAGTGTGTTACACCAGATGGGAAAACCGAGGGGAACAGACTGCGGCTCCCACCAGGGAGTTCCCGGCCTCCTTCTGGAGCCCAGGCGGGAAGGCAGCCCTAACTGCAGGCTACGTGACTCAAGATGGTGGAGCTGAAGGCACGTGGGGCAGACCTGCCAGGAGACCCAACAGAGGGGACCCCTGAGGACCCCGACTTCATGGGCCCCAGGTAATGCAGGCTGGGTGCCAGGGCAGCGCTGCTTGGCCATGTGGAGTCGTGAGGAGGCGAGGTGGGGGCCGTGGGCCGTGCAGATACCGGGGGCGGGTGGTGGGAACAGAGGAGCTGCAAGTGCTCTGAGCAGGAGCACGGTCAGCGTGACCTCGGAGCCCGCCCTCTGTCTGATGTAGCGGAGGGGCCCAGACCCGGCTGGAACCCTGGCAAGACACCAAAGTGGGGTGCCCTGTGTGACAGGCGTGAATGCAGGCGTGAGGAAGGGCTACAGGGACTGCGGCCGGGGATGCGGGGACCCGGCGGCAGGCCTCGCTCAACGCTGAGCACACGAAAGCGTCTCCAGTAGAGGTGATCCCTCTCACGTGAGAAAGCCTACTCGGGGTTCAGCCCAAAGCACGCGTCATGGATATGCACAGAGCTCTTGCGACAAAGGAGCCCTCACAAGCTGTTTTAGGACTAAAAGACCAGAAACAACTTGAAGGCCCAGTAGGAAAATGGGTAAGTCATATTCTAGCCACAAAATAGAAAAATAATCAATTTTCAAAAGGAGGTGGTAGAAAAATACTCATGCCTTGGAAAGACATTTCCAAACAGAAAGTGCAAAATATTTCTAACTGTGTCATTAAAACCATTCAAACAGTGTATGACATGTGGGTCGTTTTTATGTAAAGCATCAAAATACTTATGTGGCTGTCTCTGAATGCTTTGTTGATGGGAGACGCCAATTCTTATCTAAAAAGCTGCTCCAGAATCAGTGCCAGTTTTCAGCTCAGTGTTCATGCAGCAAAAAGGGCACCAGACCCCTGCACTGACACAGGTGGGTCCCAGCCACCTCTGGCCTCTGCGCGCGGGCCAGGAAGTGGTTCACATGTGAAACACCCAGGCAGCCATCAGAGGGAAGTGCAGAAGTCACTTCTCTGCAAAGGTCCTTCCAGCTTTAAAACAGGGATGTTACCAATTTTGAGAATAAGATGGACAATGCAGTCACCACACCCTGAAAAATACAAAACACTACAGCAACGATGACAGAAAACGCCAAAGCTGCAGGTGTTTCCTTTGGGTCACCTGCCTCTGGCATGAGGGCAGCAGTCACTTCTCTGTGGCAAGGGCCAGCTCTGGCAACTGTGTAGCACCCTAAAATGATTATCGCAGTGCACTGACCTGCACTATGCCAGGTGCCAGGCTGAGCAAAAGCACGTTCGGTGCAAGGGCCAGGCCAGGGCACACTCACAGGGACCTGGGGCAGTTCCCTGTCTGCAGGTGTGTGTGTGGGTGTGGGGCGAATGGGCTGCGAGAAGTTAAATAACGTGACCAAGGTCACAGCTAGTTAGTAGAGGCACTGAGATTTGAACCCAGTTTTGCCTGACTCTTAAAAGGAAATGTTCTCCTAACATGGGACGAGGAAACGCGTGTCCACACTTACCTTCAGTCCTGCACACGAGCCTCTAGCTAAACACAGAAACACCACATGACCCCATAGATTCGCTCCCACTCTGTACCCAAGGGAATAGTGTGCTGAAACAACCTGCACACTTGTGACACCCCCCTAGCAAGCCAGGGGAGGGAGGAAGCACCCCTGGGCACGGCCAAGGCCAGATGGGCCAGCCTGAGAACATGGTGCCCAGCGAGAGTCACTGGAGAAGACGCCGCACATCACACGATCCACGGCCCCACGGACGCAGAGTGTCCACAATGTCACAATCCAGGGCGACAGGAAGCAGGGAGTGGGGGAGGGGGGAGAGGGAGTTGAGGCGGGAGACCCAGGGACCCGTCGAGTACAGAGGCTGGTCATCAGCAACCCGCACAACCGTGTGAAGGTCCCAGAAGGCAAGAACCACACACTTCAAAATAGGCCGAGTGATAGATTTATGTCACGTGAATTTCACCTGAATAAAAAGAGGCACTTTTCTCAGGCTGAAGACATGAACCACAGGCCCTGCAAAGGCTAGCCATGTGGGCTGTCACCAAGCATCTCAGCTGGAAAGAGGCAGGGGTGTGGTGGTGGGTGGGGGACAGATGCTGTCACCCCCACACATCAGCCACGTCAAAATACATTCGTCAAAAACCCCAGTGTGGTTCACACCCTCAAGAGGGGCCGCCAGTTGCTACCATGTCGTGTTCTTATTTCTGCCTCCTTAGCAACTGGGTGCACTTCTCAGGGTTCCCACAAGACTGGTGTGATCAGGTGTCTGACAAGTCACCTCAAGTTTTTCACCAGAAGAGGGCTGAGCCGGAAGCACGTGCGGAAGTCCAAGAGGTCCCAAGTTTATTTTTGTTGAGCCCAATTCCTACGCGGCCCGGAAGCACCATGCTGCCGGCCACCCCGAAGCCGCCCTGGCCCCTAAGGCCCTGGGAGCACGCAGTGCCCGGCGCCGGCTGCCCTGACCGCGCCTCCTGCAGGTCGCCAGGCTGGCAGGGTGCCCAGCTCGCGAGGGATGCCAGCGAACACTTGCTACTGGACCAGCTCCTGCACAGTTTACTGGGAAAATGGACAGGTGGATGAGGCCTCTATGGACGCCTTTAGGCACAACAATGTATTCTACATCTAAAATATTTAGACAGTCTGAAATATGGGTTATGGGGGGCAAAACCAACAAGCAACCAAAAAGCAGTGCCAGTTTCAAAGGCAGTCCTAAGCCAGCCAAATGCAAGGGCTCAGCGCCAGGCGGGTGTGCCCACCCCAGTCGCGAGCAAGGCCACGAGGGGTCTGTGCGTCGACACTGTTCTCGCGACACTCGCGCACACACTGGGTGACTGGGGTTCACCTTCTTGGGGGGAGGCGATACAAACGTCACGGAGAAGTGGCAACTAGATGAGGCATGCAGTGACGGTGAAACAAAAATGTCAAAAACCAAAAGAAGTGAAAGCAACGTATTATGTCTAAATACAGGATAGGTCATTCGACACTAGAACAACTATGACAAAGGGAGTCAGGAAGTTTGCTGGAGCGTTCCAGGCCCATGCAATCAACTGTCAGAGAAAAGAACAAGTAATTTTAAGAAGGAAAATGATGGTGAATGGCCAGGATATCTGTGGTAAGCGCCAGTGGCCAGGCAGGAAGGGGCAGGGGCGTGAAGCCAGGTGGTGGCGCAGGCTGGGTGGACAGGAGTCAGGGGACAGTTCA